ACGGCAATGTGCCTATGCGAAAAGGCGAAATCTTGTTCTTTCCAATACTTTAGCTCAAAGCCTTCTACGCCCAAGCATTCCATGGTGGTGCAAGTTTTTGACACGTTTTAAGCCATATCCCAGCAATGGGGAAATCAAAATTACGTAGATTGTTATGTGTATGGCGAGGAACATTATGCATATTAATACGATGATAGTACTAATTTTATTCCTCGTAGAAAAAAAAGCAACAGGAGAACTGAGATCAGATACGATTGGCGGGCGGCCGCCGGCCCCCGGCCGTAATGATGAGAGACAATGGAAACTAGAATCAGTCGTGCGGATAGTCAACAAGAGCCGCTTTTAAGGAAGTGCATATGACCAGTGAGCCAGTTAACGCAGAATGTTTTGGCAATATGGTAATGGGCTTTGCAAGCCTAGCAGGCATGCTATCAAAGTGTAATACCATGGAACTTGAAGATTAACAACAGAGCCTTGACCGCAATGAGACGCAAGCACATCAGGCGTCTTCATCACTACAAAAGCGACAGGCGTAGCTGACCAGGGAGCCGATAGTGTAAATTCAACGAAAAGCTTGATGAAGTGCGTGACACCACAAGCGGCAAGCCACTGCATGCACTTCGAACTTACACGGCCTCGCACTCCTCGTTTCGTGGACGCCGCAGGGGGTACGAGGGAGTGCGGGCGTGGTATGTTTGTTGACTGCTGCTTCAATTTTGCGCTAAATGCGCCAATACATTATTTAAAAGAGAGGTACATAGTGGAAGAGGGTGCGTATGCTTTTTGTACGCGTAGGCTCTAACATTTTTTTACGAGATAAACGCCGGCCTGTGGGCTGGAAGGGCTTTGCCTCGCACGTACCTTGATAAGGCGGATCATCTTTTGTATTGCAGGTAACCTTCCTACCTACCTCGACCCATGGCGTTCATTAAGTGACAGGTGGTGATGCACCGTATGACTGGATCTGTCTTATCTAACGAAAGTATGACGTCCATATGTAATTGGCAAACAGTCAGATTGGACTGCCGATTGCCTGGTTCGATCACGAACTGTATTTTGCGATTATTACGCAGGCATTTATCTATTTTAGGATCATCATTCACTAATGCGAATGCAAGAACAACGCGAAAGGGCTAATGCACGCACAACGAACGCTTGCAGCAGCAAACGCTTCGCTCAAATAAACGACGCCAACTTTACGGTGTGTCGAAACAGACAGGTGACTCACTCTCCACTTCAGCGGCAAGTCTAAGATAGCCACTCTGATGGAGACTCTGAAAACGTAAAAACGGTCAATGTAGTAATCAAAGAATGCCGTATAGAATGGCATCTTTACTAAGTAATGAAATTGCGCTATCAACAGCAGTCTTTTGTACTTGCAATCGCATGGCAGAAATGGACCGTGTATTAAGGAGTGGGCTACGGATCCGTGGCAATCCATGTTGACACCAGCCCAGCAAATGACAACGCGCCGGGGGCAGTCTGTTCAGTGAAGTAAGACCGTGCCTTCGTCGGTGGTTGGCGGCCGACCTATAAAAGCGAAAGTACTGCAGAAGCAGGCATCAATTTCACTTGCATACTCGTCCACCAAAACACAACATGCAGGTATGTGCTTGAACTATATTGTTGATGTAGCAATATGTCGAGTGTTACAGATTTTCCTGGGCAAATGCATTCGTGGTCGAAAAAATAACTACGATGCTGAAATGAACGAGTCATTGATAACTTATCTTCTATGACATTGCAGGCTCTCGTCCGTTGCCGCCGTGCTGGCTGTTGCAGCTGCCGCCCCAAACTCCAGATACACCGGTGTACAGGCCTGCCCCGGTCTTCAAGCCAGCCTCTTACCATCCGCAGCCCCCAGTACAATGAGGACGCCAAGCCTTTCGCTTACAACTACGGCCGTCAACGACCACTACTTCCGGAGCCAACTTCGCCAAGAAGGAGGAGAGCGATGGCCCCAACACCCAGGGATATTACGTCGGTCGCTCTGCCCCGACGGCCGTGTCCAGCATGTCAAGTACGTCGCCGACAACTACGGCGGCCTACAACGCTGAGGTCACCTACGAGGGAGAAGCCCAGTACCCCCGAGTACCACCCCGCCCCTGCCTACAAGGCTGCCGCTCAGGCTTATAAGCCTGTCAACAAGCCTACCTACAGCCATCCCGCCTCGGCATACAAGCCTGTGACATACTAGTCGCAGGGTGAGAACGGCTGGTTATTCAAACTTGTTCATGCTTGCGTTATGGTTGCTTTTCGTTTTTTGTCCTGCGTTACTTCAATAAACAACACTCTTTTGAATCGTGCCGTTTTGACGGAGGTAATTCTACGCCTTCCACCAGGAAATGTCTCTGATCTGATAGTGAGAAGCGACGTCTGCATAAATTGAAGACAAGGACCACATGCTGTTTTGTGATGACTTTTAGCAACGACCTGTCATGGATTGCTGGTGCTTAGAGCGCGTCATCTTTGCAAGGTTCCTTAAATCCTCGGTTTGATTGTAGAGGAATTCTATAAATTTCATCTCCCGGAAGCAAAGTTTCTGTATCAATACAAGTGATGAAGGTAGTGATGAAGGTATAAGGTAGATATGAAGGTATCACGCTGAAACTACGTGACAGGTGGCTATCAGTGCATGGTCTTACCAAACACCTCTGGCCTATGACCGTCTGAGGGCTGAGATCTTGCTGTCTGTTGTTGTTGGAGCGACCCCCGGACTGTGCCAAGTAAGTACAGTATGTCTACAGTGTCGCCAGGTGATCAATGTGTCACTTATGTGGAAATGGGCTCTCGATGTTCAGTTGGGCCACGGAGTCATGGCATCTCCCGTGAGGACTCTTAAGATGCTCTCGTTTCTAGTCGCTACAACTCCCAATTTTCTATGTTGCCTTGAAGTGTTTAATGTGCACTCGGGTGGGTACCACTTGACCCGCGAAGGTTTTTTCCGGAATGTTTTCCGAAAGCGAGGCGTAGTCGCTCCAAATTTTGCATAGCTGTAAATAACTGAATAGCGGATCGCTTGACATCGTATCATAACTCTAAATGTAGCTTGAATGGTCGCTCACCTACGGCGGGTCAAATTGGATTCAGCGAAGTCAATTCGTAGAGAATGTTCGATCTGATGCAATAACGGAGTTTTAGACGAAACCATCAATCTCTGAGAATATTCTTAGTCGACACCAAAATTGAATGAGCAAATTAAATCGACCTAGGAATAGATAGGAATGTCAGACCAAGGTCAAAACCAACGTGTTTATGACCATAGGGCTTGCTGTACGAGAGTTGTTTAGTTTCCGGTGCTCATTTCGAATTGATTGATAACAGAAACCGCATTGCATGTCTTCAATACATTTCTTACAGGTCAAAATAGGTAACGAACCTAAAATAACCTAGTCAACATTGTTGTTGTGAAACATACTGCATTGCGTACTCTTTGTCGCTTATTCAAATGCAAAAATCAAAGCAGTCTTCCATGATTTTGGTCAGCATGACCTTCAAAATGCCAAACAGGGTCACGGACAATCAATGGGTATGTGACCTCTCTTCTAGAAGGAAACCAACCCGGAGTTTGACTTTGTTGAACTTTATTTGCCACGAAGGTCACGACCCAGGAGCATCAAGCTTAAACATAAGCGAGCTAACGTTCAGGCTAGCACATCATGTCAAGTTGGTGGTGACTCCAGCACTCTCGGCTCCTGAGATCTCAGAGGGGTAGGATTGACTCCCAAGCCAAGCGAAGGGTATCCAAACGGCCATCCGGGCGCGTGTTAAAGCAATTTATCCCCTGACATGGCGCCTGGACAGCCAGGGCTAATCTTGCCAAGTCGTGTACATCGCCAACACAGCCATGTAGGTGAATTGAGATTGGCGGATGGTGGTGCACGAAGAAAAGTTTGCCGTCCATCTACAATAAACAATGCGGCATAAGTCCATGTCCAAACCAATGTCTAGCATGGGCCCGTTGCGAACACAAGGAACAGAAAAGTGACGACCGTAAGTCCGAGTCATAGATTCATGACAGAAAAGACGTAACGCATGGCGACAGTTTTTCTTTGTTTTCATGTCACTGGGACGCGAAAAGAAAAACCGTTTTTATACTCAGATTTGCAATATTAATATCTGTTTCTGTAGACCACAACCACTTTCCGCTTCCACTGTTAAGGAAGTGAAGGTTTGTGCCAATGAACTGGTGTTTCCATCCACTATCATACTCGAGGTGCGTTGCACATGATTTCGGATGTTTTTCCTATCTTGCACCATCAGTTGTGCATGGCAGCTTGCTTTTTGCACATTACGGGCCGCCCCGATATTCAGAAACGTTTCTTGCACATATTACACGTAATGTATTCCGCACCGCAGCCAATCTAGCCCCGCCGTTATCTCCACGGTAAGCTACCGTTTCGATCTTCAACATTCATTCTCAAAGCTCGGGGCGCGACATTCTGGCTTGGTGTCACGGATCTTGTAATAAATACAGAAATTTTGTTTCCTAAAAAACATGTTGAATTCCTTCGCAATCA